AGTAAGTCTTACCCTAAGTTCCATCTACCCCTTCTAAGACACTTAATTAATTCTATTCCTCTTCGAACCTAGGGCTCTGATACCAACTTGTCACACCCCAAATTCGAAAATAAGAATGATAATCGAATTAGAGTGTGAATAGAATTTAAAATAAATTAAAATATTACAACGAGAGTATGATGGAACCAAAGCCAACTAAAAGTTCACTTAGACCTGTTTAATTAATACATCATGAGTTTAAAGAGTTCAACTCTTACAACACACTCTTGAGATACTAGAACACTTAATTTAAAGTACAACTAGGAAACCAGCACACATAGGATATGTTTATTCATATAGAGACAGGTCATCATCTTGTTTCGCCATACCGGTACCTGCAATAGCTAAAGGGTGTGAGCATTTATCTCAGTGGAACAGGATTCTCACCCCTACTAAATATTTATTGGTCAAAAATACCTAATATATCAGCCTTGAAAACAATAAACTTCCATTCAAATAATACTAAAATTAATCTCCTCATCCTCCACTTAACCCATTTGGAAAAGCAATACCTTAAATATTATTACAGGTCCAATCCACTATTTAAGCTGTAGCAACCATAAAGTTTGGAACGTACCAAGTGTCCACCCAGTAAATCAAGTAGTATAATGACTTCACTAGCTTAACCATTTTATTTCATAACTTATGTTGCACAATCATTCAATTTAAAACCTGTACATCGGGAAACTTCATCATAACCATAAACTAGTAAGTCTACCCTGTTCCATTTGGCCTTCCCAGCCTAAACCTCTCAACAAACGATAAAGTAAAAGGGGAAAGGAAATACCAAAGAAAAAAGAACCCCCCTATTTCTTTTAAGATGATAAGATTTATTAAACACGTGAATAATACCCATTCCGTGAAAACCAAGAAAAAAATAGAAATTAACGTTGAGTATCCTCCAAAATCAAAATAAAGAAGAATCACTCACTGATTTGAAAGGAAATATCAGGCCAAAGTGAGAGTTTTTTTAAAGAGATTCAGATTTCTTTTACTTTTCACTATTTGCTGACTTTCCTCGACTAAATGAACCTTGTCATGAAGAATAATAAGAAAAGAAAATACTAACAAGAAACCTATAAAAACAGGAATTACAACCAACACCCTCTCAGCTTCCCTCTTTCATCTAGTTTGCTCTAACTTGAGAGCTTACTAAGCCTATTTTCAGCCTGAACTCTTTAAGATCTAACTCTTGTGATACTTGCTACGCACCTACGAATTGGAGAAAAGTCCAAGGTTAGCAGCCTAGTGGTTACGAGAACTTGTCTGCTTCTAGTAAGTAGGCATCGGCTGCCAACCCAATGGCTAACAACTTTGCAAAGTCCTACACCAACACCTACGGCTAAGCATAGGCTACGCGAGCTTGTCTGCTTATAAAAAGTAGCATGCTTCGCCACTGGTCTATCAAGTCTAAAGGTTAGGGCATGAACAAAAGAAGCAAAATGAAGAAAAGCTAAGGAAAACAGTTTTATAAACGACTAGCAAAGCCGAAGGAGTTCAAGCAAAACAAGAGCTACAAGGAAAAAACAAAGAAAATCTTAAAGGCTACCTAAAATGACTAACAACACTTGGCCAGCCTGGACATCCTACGACTATCTGGTCGCCATACTTCACCGCGAAGCCTAGCAACGGCAATTTTCATCCCCGACTGCTCCAACCTGGGCACCAACTTTTCCAACTTTTTAACTACTTCACCAAATACCAACCATTGTCCGCGCTTGCAGTCATCCACTTCTTTCGTTCAAAATTTCGGTCCTATTCTAATCAGTAACTTAGAGTTCAACACGGGGAAACTGTGATAAATCCTTTATTGAAGTGGATCATCACTTATGGCTTTATAAAGTATCATTTTTCAACTTTTTCATCCTTTGCATAAGCAGCGAAATAAGATCTTTGGTTTTTTTCTCAGTCGCATCTCTTAATGCAGGCAGGAAGATTCCTTTTCCACCTTCACTAATTGCAGTAGGATCCAAACGGTGAACGAAGCATAAGTCCGCTTGATCCTATTCACAGCTTTTGGTTTGAAACCCACGGTTCCTCCTACAAGATAGTTAAAGTGCCAACGCCAAAGTTGGTACCCACAGAGGAGTTCTAACATCAACAAGTAACTCTCGTAACCAATAATTTCATCTCAATCACCTCTGCCTAGCTTGCCGTCATGTCCCCAAAGCCCAAAAAGACATGAGCCATATGACTCGCCACTCTGGCACAAACCCTGCCCAATAGTTGGCCCCCTGGCCCGACAAAATGGGCAAGCCTGCCCTGGTACGCACCAAGTGGACGAGCAGTCTTAAAAGAAGTGGTGCCACGTTTTTCTTCGGCCCATGCCGGCCCCACCCCTGGTAGTTTAGCGAAGTGTTGCACCAACCACGGCTGCAAGAGGTAGCAGACTGAAAATTAATTTTTCTTACCATCAATGCGGCACGAAGAAGACGAAGAAAGAACGAAAAGACGGTCATTTGCAACGGGCAAGATCGTAGAAAAATGAGAGCTAGAGGGGGAAACAAATATCCTCTTTAAGGCTACTCTCTTAATACCCAAGACTTTAATGCTGCCTCCAGATTGATTCTAATTTCTTAAGCAGTGACTTAAATAGGCTTTGAGAAAATTTATTTCCCTTCCTAGGAAATCATTTCCATTCATTAAGTTTCCTGAGAGAAGCTCTCTTCAAAACCATAGGAAACATCCTAGATTTCCTAAAGCAGTGTTGGGGGACACACTGCTGCCGCTTTTTGCGAAGCACACATGTGTGGGGGAATTTGTGGAGCCAAAATATTCACAAGGCGACACGTGGCTTTTTAAAAAAGAAGACAAAACTACCCTTGGGGATCATATCGGATTCCTACAGCGGGTAATTATCCGCGAGGTAAAGCCTCAACCCAAAAGTGCCCAAATAGGTATTCAACTTAAAACCTAATTTATTTATATATAATTCCATTTCATTATTTTTAAAATCAATTAGCTAAATACTATACATTCCATAATTCCTAAAACATCCTTCTAAAATACTGATTAAAAGCCATCCCACTTTGATACCCTAACTCCCACAAAAAGGCCAGTTAGCTTTCATCCCCAAAAGAAGTCAGCCCTTCCTTCTACCTTTTTTCCTTTGTATGACAAATAATTAGCCAAGTTAATTAGGGAGTTATTGGCTAATTATTTGGTAACTCCTAATTAAACCTAAATTAAACCCAAAAAACCCTAGCCACCTCCTATCCCTATAAATATACTCTCATTCTCACCAAAAAGCCAATTCCAACACTTTGGCAAAAATCCCAAAATTCTCTAAACACTCTTTCTCTCTAAATTTTAACTTTGGCATCGGAGGTTCTTCGGCCAAAGCCCCCCCATTCATCGTGGGCGCGTGAGGCTCTTGGCCTTAACCTAAGGTGTTAATTGTTTTGTAGGTGAAAAATTGTCCAAGATCAAGGAGGAAGAAATTTGCATCCACAGCTTATACTACAATTACCTTGTTCTCTTACAAGTACTTTTAGGTGTTTTTAACCATACTTTTGCAGGTGGTAAAAATTATCACTTATATTATAATTTGAAAGTTGTGCTAGAAGCATGGTTCATACTCAAGTGGGAGAATGTACGAATATGAGTAAGAAAGTGATTGTTATAGCCATTTTATCCAAATTGGTGCAGAGAAGTCTTATGAGAAGAAGATTACTTTGTCCTAATTTACATGGAATGAGACTTAGTATGTAAACTGGTTTTTTACCACTTATAGTTTGATAATGAGATTATTGGTGTTCTACGTGAGTTCTAATAGGAGAATCGTATTTGCCTCTATAAATACTGGTCCCTACTGTCACAGAAAATGATGTTCATTATTGAACTTAGACCTGTTGTAAATTGAGCATATTATTTTTGCAATAGAGCAAAAACTTACTATATATTGAAGTCGCCAATGATTTCATTTTCGGGTTCAAAAAGGTCAGATTATTCTTACAATATGCAGCTCCACATACACAGGTCATATGGAAGACTTCCCTCTACACAATTATGAAAATTTAAGCCACATAACACTAAGCTTAAGTTCCTAACCAATTTCCTCAGAATGTTCTTGTAAATGTATATATACACACCAGTCACCTGCACGCTCGCACATGCTGCATATTGAATATTTAACAAGAAATAAATCATTTTTCTCACTTCCTCACTTTTAACGTTGATGAGGCCCGTGAAACTGTGTACATGACATGAATCCCCGATTAATCTCCATCTTTTCTTAACCCTTGACCAGAAAATAAAGAGAGATATTTTCTTAGCCATCAATTTTCCGGCATTTTCCATGCTCGGACAAACCTTTCCTCCTCATTGTAGTCCACTGACTTATAGATATGGAACCACCAGACATGTTGATTGTTGTGATAATAATTATTCAAGCTTTTACCACTCTCACAAATTACATTATTGCGAAAGCCAATATTTGTCTCATAGACGGGAAAAAAATATTTCGCAACTAATGCTCTCTTTAGTGGCCAGTTGGTTAATAAACAATGACAAATGTCAAGAATGTGAACCAATTGTCCAATTAGCAGATCTCATGTGTTAGAAATCGTTACATGAGAGTTTCTATGTACGTACCCTTCTAGGAGACCAATGCATTTGAATTGAATGTCCCACTCCCGCATTGGCAGTTTTTCCAACGTGAGACTTGAGAGGGTCAACAATCTTCTTTTTGTCGAAGTTGCCACTTGGTGATGTCATTCATATGGGATTTGGATATCCAAATTGTGGGGATCTTAGGAATTCTCACATTTTAATTATTGGTCGTATATCATGTGGTCATAAATCATTTTGAATTTTTTTATTTAAAATTAAATACAAATAATATTTGACGAAAACTTACCACACGATGTACAATGAATGATCATGATGTGATGTGAGGATCCTCTCCTCATCCATTCATATGGGACTTACAAGTTTATAAAACAATTTCTCAGTCAACGACTCTCTGTATCCATCTTTCTCTCCAAAAAGAAAATAAAATGCAACTTCAATTCCTTGCTGGGCTCTTGTTTTTGTCAACCCATCCTGCAACTCCACTGAATTTCAATTTCCCCAGCTTTCCCAACGGTATCAGCAACATATCTCTAGACGAGCAAGCTTTTATCAGAGACCAATTCATCCAACTCACCAGTAGCGGAGCTGCGGACGATAGCAAGAGTAGAAACCTCGGCCGAGCCCTACTACAAGCCCTTTCTCCTCCGCCAAAGAGCCACCGGAAAGCTGGCCGATTTCACAACTAACTTCACGTTTGTCATTGATTCACAAGGCAAGCACAAACACGCCAATGGGCTCACTTTCTTCCTAGCTCCATTCACCTACAACCGAATGCAAGGCATGGACGGAGGGAGGTAAGGCCTGGTTGGGGCACATGCCCCCTCTCATCCCTTTTGTTTCATAACAAATTATTCAATTAAAATCATGCTTTACGGATTATTCAATTAATCATATTAAAATAATAAAAATCCTCTTTTAGTTTTTAAATATCTTTCCGTCTTGTATGTTTTTCTCACGCACTAATGTCTAAACCCTGTTGAGTTGCATGTACTTAATTAATTAGTACAAATGAGCATTAGATTGTCAACAATTAAAGACAAAATTAGACAATAGAGTAATAAAATTAAGCATTGTAATTAATTTTTTCAGCATTTGTAAAAGAAATAGCTTTATTTGTCCAAAAAATAAGCTCAAATTTTTGAAGATGCTCCTTCTTAGTTAAATTTCTAGTTTCGTCCTGATGCAAGGACAAGCCGTGTTAGGATGGACCTCCCCTACCCACCATACGTGGAGGTTGAGTTCGACATCTACCAGAATAATCAGTCAGACATTAACGATCCCGTGGGCGAACATGTAGGTATCGACATCAACTCTGTCATGTCTAAAATTACCATGCCATGGAATGGTAGCATTGTGGATGGAAAAATCAACAGTGCTAGGGTTAATTATGATTCCACGGCAAAAAATCTCAGCGTGGCTTTCACTAGTTATGTGAATGGAATTCAAGTGATGAGGTATCTTGATTACAGTGTTAATGGAATTCAAGTGATGAGGTATCTTGATTACAGTGTTAATGTGAATGACTACTTGCGGGATAGGGTCATTGCTGGCTTCTCCGCTGCAACCGGCGATAATATGCTGCCCTGCACCGGATCATTTTCTCCTCTACATAAGTCAGGAAAGGGCAAAAATATAGGAATCGCTGTAGGGATAGGTGTTGGGGGATTTTTAGGAGGATCTATTCAATTGAGAATTTGAGAGATTTTGATAGATTTATAAATCCATGAATTTTTACGAAGTTTAACTGATTTGTAGATGCTTAAAATATATTACAAAATCTCTCCAATTCCCTCTAATTCCTCAACTTTTCCAAATTCTCTAAATTCTAATACTAATTGAATATACCTGGAATGTTATAAACTTCTTTAAAATTCTAATTGAATACACCCAGATTTCTAAAGATTTTAATAAACTATCCTAAAATCTGATTGAATACACATTGAAATCACTTAAAATCATTTCTAATTGAATACCCATAAATTCATTAAAAGAATTAAAATCCCTCAAAATTTCAATTGAATACCCTCCTTTATTCTTGGTCGGTGGGATTGTTGTGATTTGGTTCATCTTGTGCAAGAAGAGGAACTCGGGAAAATAGTGATGAAGAAGATGCTATGGTTTGCAACTTGATTGATGATGAATTTGGAAATGGGACTCGCCCGAGGAAGTTTTCCTATGGTGAGTTGGCTCGTGCCACAAGTGATTTTTTGGAAGAAGAAAAGCTTGGAGAGGGAGGGTTTGGTGGTGTTTAGAGAGGCTTCATAAAAGACTTGAACTTATTTGTTGCCGTTAAGAGGATATCGAGACGGTCTAAACAAGGATTGAAGGAATATGCAGCGGAAGTAAGGATCATTAGTTGACTTAAGCATCGGAATCTGGTGCAACTCATTGGTTGGTGCCATGAAAAAAAACTCCTACTTGTTTATGAGTAGATGCCCAAAAGCAACTTAGATTGTCATTTGTTCAAAGAAAAAAACATGTTGAGTTGGGAGGTGAGGTACAAAATTGCTCAAGGCTTAGCATCCGGGTTGCTTTATCTCCACCAAGAATGGGAGCAATGTGTGCTTCACAGGGATATCAAATCCAGCAATCTTATGTTGGATTCAAATTTCAATGCAAAATTGGGGGATTTCGGGCTAGCACGACTTGTGGACCATGGAAAAGAGCCGAAAACAACAGCTCTAGCAGGAACAATGGGGTACATGGCTCCCGAATATGTTATCACAAGAAAGGCTAGTAAGGAATCAGACTTGTCAGCTTTGAAAACAAGTAGTAATAATGAAGTGAACGTGGTGGAGTGGAGAAAGAGAAAGTGATTGAAGCAGCTGACCCAAGATTGTGTGGAAATTTTGACAAGAAGCAAATGGAGTGCTTGATGATTGTTGGATTATGGTGTGCTCATCCAGATTACAATATGAGGCCTTCAATTCAACAGGCGATCCAGGTGTTGGCGTTTGAGGTTCCACTGCCCCTTATTCCATCGAAGATGCCCGTCCCCACGTATTTGGCTGTCGAATCTCCTCCAAAATCTTTTCAGATCTTGTCTCGTGATCATTTTAGTGCTTCCGAAGCTGAAGGGGGTGAAATTGAGCGCAATTCATCCTCAAGAAAGCAAGAAGAATCGTGCATTAATTACTAGTGTAAGTGTAAACCAGGTAACAATCACAATGGTAGAGGGTAGGTAGTGAAAGCTATGACCTAGCTTATTGAGTATTAGCGAATCATCTTCTAGTCAACATATATGCTGCAAACAAGATATCCGACTCGTCCTCAACTTTCCCTGCTCTCCAGCGAAATGCTTCGAAAGCGATTTCTCATTCCTGGCTAGCTCTTTATTGATGATATGAAACACTAAACCGACTTTGACGACTAGTTGCTATACTGACAAAAAAAAAAAAACACACACACGCATTTTGGCCATCCATATGCATACATACATACATGCATGATGTATGCATGGGTTGCTAACTGTTTTGAAGTTTATATTTTGTGTTGGGCTTGGAGGCTTGGAATTATGTGGGTAAGGATTTTCCACGTTTGGGGCTGAAACTCCATCATCCTCCCAAATACAACACAACGAGGACTTATATATAACATCATCTATCTTATTGCTTGCGTCACTCTTGTTAGTTGTTACAATTCATTCGTCAAAATTTATAGGATAATTAGTATGAATGATTACTTTTTAACATTTAGTTGTAGAAATGTTTTTTTAATAACGAGGACATATTGATTATATATCGATGATACAATAATGACATAACAATTACACAACAATACTATAACGACACTTAATTATTTTTGCAATCAAGTGTCAAAGAATGATTATTCCTGCTAATTATCCAAATTTATAAGGTGAGTTTCTTGTTCAAGTTACTGAAAAAGTAAAAGCCCAACTATAATATCATCATATTGCCGTGAAAAAAAAAAAGCAAATTATTAAAGTCAATTTCAGTTAATTAGCTGAATCTCATGTGCACCGCGTGATCCGCTGCAGCCTTCATTGCATTTCCCTCTCTTTCTTTAATTTCCCGATATTGAATAGTATGAATCGTGTTAGTGAAAATGCATACGTTGATGTGATCTTTGTGGAGCCAAAAATAATCACAATGCGACACGTGGATTTTTGGACAAAAGAGGATAAAAATACCCTTGAGGTACAACAAGATTCCTACATGCGAGCAGCGAGCAATCATCCTTCAACCAAATCAAAAGTGTCTAAAATAGGTAACAAATTCAAAGTTATTTCATCCATCCTCATCCTATATTTTCCACAAGGTAATTATGTCATAACCTTCAAAACATCCCATATAAATTACATAACCCCCAAAATATTTATTCCAAAAATGTGTTGATTAACCAATTAATTCATTAAATCACACATTAAACCATAAGTTACACCCTATCCCTATAAATAGGTTCCCATTTTCACCAAAAGATCATTCTAGCATCAAAGGTTCTTCGGCCAAAGCCCCCCCCATTCATCGTGGGCGCGTGAGGCTCTTGGCCTTGACCCTAAGGTGTTAATTGTTTTGTAGGTGTAATTTTGTCCAAGAAGAAGAAGACGGAAATTTGCATCCATAAATTGGTGATTTCATTGAGAGTTGAAATTAACACTCGTAGAAGACTCTCGCATAAAAAGTTTTTTTCTCTATTTTCTAGTCTACTTGTATTTTTCGTACGTTCTTATTATTAGAATTTTTTATTTGCAAAGATTTTTTTATAAAATGCAAAAAAGAAATACAATGGCTAGAAATTTAGAAAACTCCATGAGTGAAAATTCCAATATCAAAGAAATGGGACCGCAGCGATCCACGAGACTTAATGTGATCCTAAGGGGAGCGGCACCACCACCACGAGGTTCAACCACGGGAACTACCGCGATGGTCACTATGGTGGCCACTCGCGGCGAGGTCCATGGCACTACTACCACGGCCCGAGCCGTGCCACCAAAGCAAGCCCAAGCCTTGTCATCCAAGGCCTACGGCACCAAGACCATGACCCAAGCCATGTCACTCCAAGCCCAATGCATTTCCAAGCCCAACGTGTTGCCAAGTAAAGCTCAAGCCTCGCACCCGCGTGCATCACACGCCGAGCAGCCCACTCTCGTGGCCTAGCCTGCTCCCGCAGAGCAGGCCACTCTTGCGGCATAGCCTGCTCTCGTGGCCCAGCCTGCTCTCGCGGCCCAGCCTACTCTCGTGGCCTTCCAAGCAGCTTAAGTCGACCTAAAACTATCTTAACCATCCGGACCTACCATTGAGTCGGGGGCATTTTCACCACATTTCTCCACGGATTTGACATTTCCTAACTCAAATCTCGCGCCCGGTCTACCACCCTTCCATTGCTTAAGGAGGCACATTCCTTCCAAGCTCTTCCAATCCAAATGGCGAACAACACTTGTCTCGACAAGTCATAGAGTTGACAAGCGCCCTAGCACAGCAGATGACCTTGGTGAACCAGCTTTTGCAGCGCACCAAGATGCAACGTGCCCCAAACGAGGTGTCCCAAAGTAGGACAAGGGCAGATGAAGAACCTCTCCAACAGCATCCCGACAAGCAGCCATTCAACCATCCATGAACCGAGCGTTTGGGCAGAGTACACTCCCGATTAGGCCCCCGAGATAGCATATACTCTCGTCTTAGCGCACGGAGGAGCGTGCACTATCGACTAGGCCCACGGACGAGCATACACTCACGGTTGAAGACGCACTCCGATAATCAACATGAGCAGCCTTCCAAGCAAAGTATTCATTCGCGGCTAGGCTCGCAAGGAGTATCATTCACATCACATCGAAACAGGCAGCACAACAGACGGAAAGAAACATTCACTCAATCCGGCTCAAGTTTAACCAGCAACTTGTGAGTTACACACTCGTCTGCTAAGAACATACCACACCCACTGCAACCGCGGTATAGACAAGCCGAACATATGGAAGAACAGCTTAGATCAGCACATCACGATCGGGGGCAGTCGAGAGCTCTGCCACCCCAACAAAGGAAAATTCAAGAAGAAGTAGAAAGGCTCCTGACCAAGCGATTATGTAATTTCTCACGCCAACCAAGCCTCAAAAGGGCACAAGATGAAGCACCTAATGGTGGCGCAATAATTTAGGGAGCAGCTCACTGCGTTTACACCCTTACGTGGGTTCCACAAATAGTTTGAAGTCTCAAGCAGTTCGCCAAACAAGACCTCGCAACATGAGGATTATTTCAATTGTCTAGCAATCCAGATTTCCTCAGCTGCACTCACGACAATGACTTCCATGCTCTCCAGTGCGAGAGGATAAACTAATTGCTCTCCAGTGTGAGAGGGTAAACCAATTCCCCAACACACATATGGGTTTGCTTTCCAGTACGAGAGGATAAACTAATTGCTCTCCAGTGTGAGAGGGTAAACTAATTGTTCTCCAGTGCGAGAGGGTAAACTAATTCCCCGACACCCATCTGGGTAAGCTCTCCAGTGCGAAAAGGCCACATAGCTTAAAAGATCAAATGATTGAAAATCAACTAGGCAGCAAATGGTCAAAGGCAACAGCCACTTTTGCACTTAACAGTTCACTCATCCAACACTATATCTTCAGCAGCTCCAATCTTCGCAGCTTTATCTTTGACTGCTCCATCTACGGCAGCTGAGAAATCAAACTCAAGCAATTTCCTCATTTTTGGCAAGCAGGCCAGACATGGCAACCTAAACCGTTGCCCATGCCATGCCACTTCCTCAGCCCATGCCGAGCTAATCCTTGGCTTTAATCAAGCCGAGCAACACAAGCAATAGCCCTTGCCACACTACCTCTTTGGCTCATGCCGAGCCGACTCCTGGCCCCTGCCAGCTGACGTGCCGCACCACCCTGACGGCTGCCCCGCAATAGCACTATCCAAGAAGAAGACAATAAAAAATTAAATTTTTCTTACATCAATACGGCACGGAGAAGACGAAGAAATCAACGAAAGACGGTCCTTTGCACGGGCAAGATATAGAAGATTGCTAGAGGAGGGGGAACAAAAATCATTTAAGCTCTTTCTCTCTTGTAGGGTAGAATAAATCGCTCTCCAGAGTTGATTTAATAACCCACTTAAGGTGGACTTAAATAGGCTTTGAGAGAAATTTATTTCCCTTTCCTCGAAGGACCTGATTTCCTATTAAAGAGAGAATCTACATCAAAATAGGAAGTAGTCCTATGTTTCCTAAAGCAAGATGATCTCTACACCTGCTGCTCTTTCCTACGAGCAGCCCAACAGGTGTGGGGGCATTTATGGAGCCAAAAATAATCACAAGGCGACACGTGGATTTTTGGACAAAAGAGGACAAAAATACCCTTGAGGTACAACGCGATTCCTATGCGCGAGCAATGGGCAATCATCCTTCAACCAAATCAAAAGTGCCCAAAATAGGTAACAAATTCAAAGTTATTTCATCCATCCTCATCTTATATTTTCCACAAGGTAATTATTTCATAACCTTCAAAACATCCCATATAAATTACATAACCCCCAAAATATTTATTCCAAAAATGTGTTGATTAACCAATTAATGAATTAATTGCCTAATTAATCCATTAAATCACACATTAAACCATAAGTTACACCCTATCCCTATAAATAGGCTCCCATTTTCACCAAAAGATCATTCCAGCACACTTGCAAAATTCTCAATACTCTCCAAACACTTTTCTCTTGAAATTCTAACTTTGGCATCGGATGTTCTTCGGCCAATGCCCCCCCCCCCATTCATCGTGGGCACGTGAGGCTCTTGGCCTTGACCCTAAGGTGTTAATTGTTTTGTAGGTGCAATTTTGTCCAAGAAGAAACAGGCGGAAATTTGCATCTACAATCTTGAAGCTGCAAATGCCTTGCATATACTTTTATCAATCAAGGTACGCCGCTGTGCTAACACACTACTAGCCATTTATCCAAATTATTACATATCTTTAACTATTAAACACTTACTCTTTTTTGTACAATATTGTTGAATAAAATAAGGTAATTTAGCTAAAAATTAATAAAAACTTACTATTTAGCCATTTATTAGGGGCATATTTTTGTTTGGGACTCAATCAATGACACATTTTTATTACTTAATTAAGCATAGGTCAATTGTCACATCCCGGCCGGGGCCCCTACCGCATTCCGGGCTCGACTCCGCCGTAGCACAATATTGTTCGCTTTGGGCCCCGACCACGCCCTCACGGTTTTGTTTCTGGGAACTCACATAAGAACTTCCCAGTGGGTCACCCATCATGGGATTGCTCTCGCGCAAACTCGCTTAACTTCAGAGTTCCGATGGAACCCGAAGCCAGTGAGCTCCCAAAAAGCCTCTTGCTATGTAAAGATGAGAATGTACATATAAGGTTCCTAGGATCCTCACCTTTGGGTGAAGTGGGATGTTACAATCCACCCCCTTTAAGAGCCCGACATTCTCCTCGGCACACTTCAGGCCAGAGATTGGCTCTGATACCAAATTGTCACATCCCTCATTGGCTTCGGGTTCCATCGAAACTCCGAAGTTAAGCAAGTTCGCATGAAAGTAATCCCATGCTAGGTAACCCACTGGAAAGTTCTTGTGTCAATTCCCATAAACAAAACCGTGAGGGCGTGGTCGGGGCCCAAAGCAGACAATATCATGTTACGGTTGAGTCGAGCCAAGGATGTGGCGAGGGCACTAGCCGGAAGTGTGCCGATGAGGACGTCAGGCCCCTAAGGGGGGGTGGATTGTAAGATCCCACATCGCCTAGGGGTGAGGATCATGTAAGCCCTATATGTATATTCTCATCTCTATCTAGCACAAGGTCTTTTGGGAGCTCACTAGCTTCGAATTCCATCGGAACTCCGAAGTTAAGCGAGTTCGTGCGAGAGCAATCCCATAATGGGTGATCCACTAGGAAGTTCTCGTGTGAGTTCCTAGAAACAAAATCGTGAGGGCGTGGTCGAGGCCCAAAACGAACAATATCGTACTACGGTGGAGTCGAGCCCGGGACCTGGACCTCCATCACATCCCGGGCCGGGATATGACATCAATGATTAATGCCACATAGGCTTTAAGCTATTATAAATAAAAAATTAACAAAAGCTATTATAAATAGTTAGAACATGAATATTCTACCATCCTCTCTCTCTTGCCCTTCATTAACATGGAAGAGTCTGCTCAACTTAAGGCAACAGACCAGGAAACGAACATTGCATTATAGTGTCTGAATCTAAATGTAAAAAACAAAGCCAATAAACAGACACTTTATTACAGCTCACTTGGTGGCGGCACACGTAGTTAAGCATGGCGGGAGATTTGGCTGGGATGAGTTAGGTCCGAAGTTTCTTTTTAATATTTTAGCAGAAGATGCAAATGTAATCATTCGTATTTAAATTCACTAAGTTTCTATCTTTTGACACAAAAAAAAAAAAAAAAAAAAAAAAAAAAACAGACACTCTATTATAGTGTCTCAATCCAAATGTAAAAATCAAGAGTCGTGTGATGTGAAAAGCGTAGGAGGCGTTTGAGTAATGAAAAAAAAAAAGAACCAGAAAACAGACAATGTAGCGCAACGTCTGAATCAAAAAAAAAAAAAAACTTGGAAACAAACATTGCATTGCATTGTCTGAATCCAAATATAAAAAAGTATGTGTAGGAGGCATGTGAATGATGGAAAAAACGAAACCAGTAAATGGATATTGAGTTGCAGTGTCTGAATCCAAATATAAAAAACAGAATCAAGAAATAGACTGTAACATCCCACATCGCCCAGGGGAGTGATCCTTAAATATATATTCTCATCCCTACCTAGCACGAGGCCTTTTGGGAGCTCACTGGCTATGGGTAGTTGCTCGTGATGGGTGACCCACTGGGAAGTTGCTCGTGAGTTCCCAAAACAAAACCGTGAGGGAATGGTAAGCCCAAAGCGAACAATATCGTGCTACGGTGGTAGAGCGGGCCTGAGATGTGGTGGACCCGGGCCGGGATGTGACATAGACATTGCAACATAGTGTCTGAGCTGTATTAACTTATTTCAAAATATAAAAACTCTAAGAAATTTGTGTCAATTGAAGTGGGTGTCAGTTGTAGTGACATAAATTATAATTTTAAGTAAATATTGCAATACATGATTGACTTATTTGTAATTAATATAAATATTGTTGATATATTGTTAATATTAGAATTTTTATTGATTGTATAACAAATCACCCAATAAAAAATTGCAACAAAAAAAACTGCAAATTTTATTGCATGAGGCCTTACAATGTTTGTATGGCATTGGGATTCTTCAAATAACAACACTCTTGCAGGGATTACTACAATTGTGTTTCAATTATCCGAACCACTTTTTTGGTCTTCCCTCAAATCAAACCCAAAATTATTTAACCACTCAACTAAATGGATTTGTAATATAGTTGTTTGTTTTCTTGGAATACAATGTTCGCATATTTTATTCACTACAATTTGAGATCCTAAAGATTTTTAAAGTGTGTAATTTATTGTATCTCTGACGATAGCTAACTCTGTAAGTTGTTTGTGCACACTCTTTTTCCTTCAACCATATTGAAATTTCGACAAGTTTTTTATCGAGGTTATTGTATGCACATTATCCTTATTTTTGTTTATATTATTCTCCATTCAATGAATATCGTACTCTTTTTTCAAAAAACATATTTGAACTATCGAATTAAAAGTAGACAATTCGAACTATTAAAATTTAAAGTGATTCCCACAAAGGTCCTTAATGATACTTAATCTTTTCTTTTTTGTTTTTGTTTCAGTTTTCAAGATTCATGCACGGTACGCATGTTGGATTTCATTATAAAATACGTCAATGCAATTAATAGTAAAATCATTATGAATTATAATTTACTCATTCATATTTATGATTTGAAATTCATTTTTCAACAGTAGAACGAGTCCCTTGGCCCTTTAATGGAAGAGGGGGCTCCTCTAAGCCAATGCTCAAAGTCCCAAACTTTGATCGAAATAGGCAAAAACTAAGCATACGTTTGAAGCAAAGTTTATGAGTTTTAATCACCGTCTTATCTACTTACTGCCACTCTCCCTCCACCGTCCAAACTCCAAACTCCAAACTCCAAATTCCAAGGTCCAAACAGAGAGAATCTATTCCCTTATTTTTCCCGATGGAAAGGGAGCCTTTTCTCGGCTCCCAAACAGGGCCCCAACACCAACTCCTCCAACCCACCCCCACCCCCACTGTTCAAATCCCTGACTCTGATGATTTCTCTTTCAAAATCTCTCCCTCCCACAGCGAGCCTAATCTCCGCCACCTCCAACAACCCCACCATCACCATGTCCACCAACCAGACCCGCAGCCCTCCTCGTCAGGAGCCCCGAATGCCAGCCATCAGAAGAGACCCGGCACTCTCCACCGCTGCAGGACGGCCCCCGCCATGGCCGTCATGCGAGACCTCAATCCACACCCAACAACCCAGGTCCCCAAACCACAATCCGACTCCACCTCCATCATCAGGCAAGCCGTCTTCTTGCTCCTCGTCTACCTCTCCCTCGGCGTTGTAATTTACTCCTTCAACAGGGACAAATTCTCCGGTGTCGAAACCCACCCGGTCGTCGACGCTCTCTACTTCTGTATAGTCACCATGTGCACCATCGGGTACGGTGACATTGCTCCCACCACTCCCCTCACCAAGATTTTCGCCTGCGTCTTTGTGCTCTTCGGGTTCGGTTTCATCGACATTTTGCTGAGTGGGGTTGTCAATTTTGTCCTCGACTTGCAAGAAAATATGATCCTGACCGGAATTCAAATGGGTCAGACTTCCCGGAATCGTCGTTTCTCCGCCAGGAACTATATCGTCGATGTGGCAAAGGGCAGGATGAGGATCCGACTCAAGGTTGGCCTGGCGCTTGGAGCGGTGGTTTTGTGCATCGGCATTGGGGCTTTGGTCTTGTGTTTTGTGGAGAATTTGGACTGGATTGATTCTGTTTACTTGTCTGTTATGTCGGTTACAACGGTTGGTTATGGAGACAGGGCCTTCAAGACTCTCCAAGGAAGGCTCTTTGCCGCCGTGTGGCTTCTGTTTCGACATTGGCGGTGGCCCGGGCGTTTATGTATTTAGCGGAGGCTAGGGTCGACAAGAGGCACAGGAGGATTATGAATTGGGTTTTGCATAGGGATATCACTGTCCAGGATCTGCTTGCTGCTGACATCAATAACCATGGTTTCATCAGGTGAGTTTCCATTCCATCCATCCTATCTTCATCTACTTTTTAATTGTCATCTGTTTTAGAAGTTTTCAGTGATTTACTGATGAAGTAACCTACAATATCATTGCTTATTTAGTAAAGAATGACAAGAGTTGATGAATGGTTTTCTCATCACGGTTAACTATTAGCTGCCAGCTCACCTAACAAATCTAGCAAACTCTAACAATTCTGATACGAATAACAGTGACGGTTTAGCATAAGTATTGTATTCACCGTTGGTCTGGAGGATCGTTAGTATGATGATGGAATGATAATGATATCCTGCAAATTAAGTGTAAGCCTCGCCATGTAACATTGCGAGCATGTACTGTGAACTTACCAAATGTACTAAATTCAAATTAGAGCCTCCAAAAGACAAAATTGTTTGGAGTGAATTGAGTTGGCAATTGAAGATTCAATCTTCTAATTTTGGTATGAAATTAGTCGAATATGTAACGTCTAGCTGCATCGATGTAATGAAGATGCTTAGCTATTGTAGTGGACACCAGAATCCTGGTACAGAAATGTGAGTAATAACACTAATTTATATGGATCCTCCTTTTAGTCTTTGTATTGATCAACAGGAGTAATTCTGAAAGTTATTCGCTATGCATATTAGTTTCACGTATATGTTATTCGCTTGCTCATTCAGCAAGTCAGAGTATGTTATTTACAAGCTTAAAGAGATGGGAAAGATAGGGGAGAAAGATATACTGCAAATCTGCGATCAGTTCAGTAAGCTTGACCAGAACCACTCTGGGAAGATAACGCTGCCTGACCTGTTGGCGCATCGCTTGTAGTTTTGGTAAGGTTAAGTCTGGATTCTGCTCTTTTCGTTCGAAGAAACAGACTCCTTTTCTCATTCTGGTGAAAGCATGGGGAATGTTGAAGACAAAGGCCTTTGCGTTGTATATCCTAACAAACTATTCTTTGAAGATTTATGCATTGCATATAAGCTTTGCCTTGCAAAAGATGAAGTGGATAGACATTATTCTACACCGAGCTGCTGTACGAGGATTATAGAAGAACGTGAAGTGCATAGACAATTTGTCCAAAGTAAAGTTAGAATCTCTTCCTTTTATTTCTATTTTCCCTTATGATACTGTAATTGAAACAAAAAGGAATCGAGAAAAAAGGAAGGCCATGTAATGACATTGGCACGCACACGGGTTCCCCGTTCTTGCATCTTGTAATCGGAGATACATATACTCTCCTGAATTCATTGAGTAGTCTGATATACTTTCTTTCCTTATTCATGCCCCATTTCTTGTTTTGATACCATAATCCTATTTTTTTGTTTGCTGAATTGAAGCTGATATAGTTTCCTGGTTCATACCTGTGTTGCACTTAACAGCCTTGTGTTTTAGTGTAGGCCGACTTAAGCAAAACTTACCGCATTTGAAGGTTTTTAGATTCTAAAATTACTAACAAATCCAAGTCTAAACCATACATATGATCAAATGATCTAAAATTTGTTGTATCCAATACCTAATAATATATATATAATTATATGTTCTCCATGGTCAGTTCCTTAATTGGTTTATAATCATATATTATACATATATATATATTAGTTTTCGTTCTGGTGATTGGTTTCACTTTCACTGGTGTGTGCGAAATTGACGACATATACATATTGAAGCTCGATCCGATTGCAGCAGGCACAAGGCAGGCAGGCATACTTGTTTAATGGATTAAGTATTTATTACCAATCATTTGTCACCTTAAATAAAACATCTCACTAATAATCTAATTAAATTAAAACATCTCACTAATCCAAATGTCGGCTCCCGTAATCCAGAAATAAATAATAGAAAACTTTATTCTAATCATTGTCAAATATGACTTTTAGATTAAAACCATGAGTAAGATCAAAATCTAATTTTAGTCTCTTGATACATTAATCATCTTATTTATTAATTATATTTTGCTGTTTTAATTATTTCTCTTTTTCTTCTTAATGTATTAATTATTAATTATTTTATTTTTCATTTATCATTTTTCATAATATTAATTGTTGTAATCATTTAGATTTACTAATTTTTGTTATACAATATATTTTGATGTACTTTGTTTTCTTCCTTGAGGTACATTAAATTCATTATAATACATTCGGTGTATACATTTAGGTACGCATATTTTTGTACATCCATTTTGGTACAAATATTTAGGTACATTAATTCAATATAATATATTTCGGTAGATACATTTTGGTACTAACATTTTGGTGTATATATTTCGGTACACACATTTAGATACTTTAATTTAATATAATACATTTCAGTACTAATATTTTGGTACTTACATTTAGATACATTAATTGAGTTTTTCAAATTTCAAGAATGTTAAATAAAATTAATAAATTAAAAAAACTTTTTTTTTCAAAAAATAAATTAAAATTTGTATATTAATAAATTTAAATATTTAATGGGAGACATTAAATAAAATACACATGAATTATTTTGAATTAAGAACACATCAAGAGACTATAATCAATATGTAATCTAAGGGAATTGTTATTAGCACTCCAAAATTCTCGTTTAGCACTTCAAACTTTCTATATTTAGAAAGAAAAATACACTTGTAAGGAGTGCTAAAAACGATTTTTGGAGTGCCAATAATAGTTCCCTAACCTAACAACAGGTTTATTTTAAATTTCAATCTTCTTGAAAAATTAAAGTTAAAAAACCCCTATACATAATATACCCATTAATCTTGTACTTATGTCAAAATAATAATAATCATTAGGATTACCACTCTTGACTTTCTACCTATAAGAGTATTTCCAATGGAAATGTCAAAGATAAATGTCAAATATTAATTTAATGGCTGTTGTGACAATGTCAAATTTTCTTTGAGTTTTTATATTAACACCCTACAAAATGTTGAATGCATCCCACATTAAAATTTAATATTAAATGACTTATTTACTCTACTATGTAATGACAATTTGACCTTATTAGGTTTTAAAAAAAATAAAGATTTATAAATACACCCTAAATCACTTTTAGCGTATTATTTATCTTCTCAACTATCAAACATGTTGATTAAGAAAAATTGTTTTTGACGAATGGAACACGAAATCGATGTTTCAGGAGCTTCACATGAGGTAAGACTTCATAGTTTTTATTGTTTTAATGATTTCGATGACATCGATAATTATTTAATCTTGCGTTTGCTGCATTATTTAAACTTCTATATTCATATTCATCTTTGAGTGTTCATATGGTTAGATTCAATTCCTGAAAATTAAAAATGAGTGTTATAAGATTTGAGAAATGTGGGGTGTAAAGAAAATGTGGGGTGTATGTACAAAATATAAGATGTATATTGAGAATGTGGGGTGTGGGGTATTATGGGAAAGTAAGTGAGGTGTATTAAGATAATTTTTAAGTGAAAAAGCAAATGTGGGGTGTATTAAGTTTTAATATTAACACCCCACAAAATGTTGAATGCACCCCACATTAAAATTTAATATTAAATTACTTATTTACCCTACTATGTAATGACAATTTTGATCTTATTAGGTTTTAAAAAAAATAAAGATTTATAAATACACTCCAAATCACTTTTAGCATATTATTTATCTTCTCAACTATCAAACATGTTGATTAAGAAAAATTATTTTTGACGAATGGAACACGAAATCGATGTTTCAGGAGCTTCACATGAGGTAAGACTTCATAGTTTTCATTGTTTTAGTGATTTCGATGACATCGATAATTATTTAATCTTGCGTTTGCTGCATTATTTAAACGTCTATATTCATATTCATCTTTGAGTGTTCATATGGTTAGATTCAATTCCTGAAAATTAAAAATGAGTTATAAGATTTGAGAAATGTGGGATGTAAAGAAAATGTGGGGTGTATGTACAAAATATAAGATGTATATTGAGAATGTGGGGTGTGGGGGTATTATGGGAAAGTAAGTGGGGTGTATTAAGATAATTTTTAAGTGAAAAAACAAATGTGGGGTGTATTAAGTTTTAATATTAACACCCCACAAAATGTTGAATGCACCCCACATTAAAATTTAATATTAAATTACTTATTTACTCTACTATGTAATGACAATTTTGACCTTATTAGGTTTTAAAAAAAAATAAGGATTTATAAATACACCCCAAATTACTTTTAGCGTATTATTTATCTTCTCAACTATTAAACATGTTGATTAAGAAAAATTGTTTTTGACGAATGGAACACAAAATCGATGTTTCAGGAGCTTCACATGAGGTAAGACTTCATAGTTTTCATTGTTTTAGTGATTTCGATGACATCGATAATTATTTAATCTTGCGTTTGCTGCATTATTTAAACGTCTATATTCATATTCATCTTTGAGTGTTCATATGGTTAGATTCAATTCCTGAAAATTAAAAATGAGTTATAAGATTTGAGAAATGTGGGATGTAAAGACAATGTGGGGTGTATGTACAAAATATAAGATGTATATTGAGAATGTGGGGTGTGGGGGTATTATGGAAAAGTAAGTCGGGTGTATTAAGATAATTTTTAAGTGAAAAAGCAAATGTGGGGTGTATTAAGTTTGTGTGGTTTATTTAACAATTTGTGGGGTGTTAATATAATTAGCCTTTTCTTTTCCTTCCAATCCATATGGTTTTTTTTTTTTTTGTTATAAATGATATTTGTATGATTCATTTTTAAAAAGAAATCAATTAAAATAAATTTTTAAGATTTACAAATGGTTCATTAATGGGATCCACACAATAAAATAATTCAAGAATTAATTGACAACACATTTTTCATATGTCAAATTTGGAAAAGGATCCTCGCCGGATCCTTTTCCTAGGGATCCGGGGGATCTTGTAATCGTGTTCGTTTATCGTACATTGTACGGTTAGAAATCATTTAAATTTTAAAATTAAATATAAATAGTACCTAACGAAAACCGACCGCACGATGTACGATGAACATATACGATTACGAGATCCCCGGATCCCCAGCAAAAGGATCCGGCGATGATTATTTTCTATCAAATTTGACACCAAAAGACTCATGTCAATCCATCAGGTAGAATTAACTTATTGGTTGGAGCTTCTTTTTATTTTTAATTTTAATTACATGTCATTCTACTTAGAATTTGACATCATTTGCAGCTGGTCTAAACAATCTTTATTATATTTTATCAGTTGATATTGTAAGGGGTGATTCGAATGTCTACTAAAAAAACGGTGTCTAAATCAATTTTTTGTTTCAATTTCAAAATATTCGATTTATCGTAATTTTAAAAACCGACTTTATCTCAATTTTCATGTTTTAATTCAGACTTTCCGACGCAAACTCAACAAATATCACGTCTTGTCAAAGGTAAGTCTTTTGCTTTTCTCTATGGAAGGTCGACTAAGGGTTTTTTTGGGGCATTTAGGTACCGTGTGGGATGCAGACAAGACGGAACAGGATAGAACGGAACAGAGGTTCTATGCTACGTTTGGTGTACGCTCAAGCCGGAATAGAACGAAAGATTAAATGACAATTGTACCCATCCACTTCGACGAGTTAGACCTTACATGAGCCACCGCCGATGAGTTCAACATCATCCCTCACATCTTCCGCCTAATCTTCGCCGTCCCATCCCTCGAGCGACAATGTCAGCCATGTCCTTTCACCGGCTTTCCCCGATACCCTTATGTTCTTCCTGTTTGTTTTCTTAGAAAATTTTCTCTCTTTGGCTTTCTCAAGAACCTTTTATCCGATGTGGGTTTTCTTCGTTTTTTTGTTTTTTTTTCTTTGAATATAGAAATCAAACACAAAGAAAATTGCTTTTTGTTGGGTTTTTGTCACTCGGTTTCCCGGAAAATTTAAAGTGCGATCAAAGAAGCTTGATTTTCCGAAAAAACAAGAAAACTCAGTTTTTGAGTTGATTTGTTGAGGCAAATTTTGATTTTTAATAAGTATTTTATGCCTATTGTGTAGAAATGGAGAGATATCTGGAATTTTGATTAATTTTGTTTAATTTTTGAAGTGAAATTAATGAAAAGAGAATGGGTATTGTTGTCCAAAAGGTTAAAATTTTGTGTTCCATGGGCTGGAACAAGTCGTTCCAGGAGGAGGGTGGCATGAAAAATTGACTAAAATCCGTTCCACAGGACAAGACGTCCTAGGCAAAATGGCGCACCGAACGTGGTACAAGTGCGTCCGGTCCCACTGTGTTCCGTTCCGTCCCATCCCACATACCAAACGGTACCTTAGTTCTGTACCCGAAAAACAACATGATTATTTTTTTTCTTTCTTTTAAACAAAAGATATTATCTACACAAAGAAAGGGATGAGTTTAGCCTCATAATAGACTAGCAATAATGTAGTTTAAA